ATTTCGTTGTGTTTAACATACTTTATGATTCCCTTTTGAACTCTTCTTTGACTCCTGGGTTATTTATAAAGCTGTTGTTTAGTGTTTACATTTTTGCAGATTTTCTAGATATCTTAATCTATCAGTTTTTAATTTAATTCTATTGTGGTCAGACAACACACTTTCCACACTTTCAAATCATCTGAAATTTATTGATACTTGTTTTATGGCTCAGAATATGATGTTGAAATGTTCCAAGGGCACTTAAAAATAATGTGTCTTCTTCTCTTCGTAGGTGGATTGTCTTTCAAATGTCAATGAGGCCGATTTTGATTGACAGTGTGATTCAAACCTTGTATAGAATTACTGATTTCTACTTCTATAAAATATATTATTACCTAATAATTTATCAGGAGAAGGGTATTTTGAAATATCTGTTTGACTCATGACAAGAGTGATTATATCCAATACATTAATACTTTATTGGGTTACCTAGATGATGACCCAAAGATCCTGTCCTGTCACATCTTAGAACTGTAGCATGTGCAGGAAGCTCCACCTTAAACATATTCAATAGGCAATATCTTTTTTTTTTGGAGAGGTTTTTGCTATAGGGCGTGTGCACTCGCCAGACAGACAGAGAGAGAGAGACAGAAAGGAAGAAATCACCCCCCCAGGGGGATGGCCACACCGCAATCCCTTCTCCTCCATGCTCCTCTCAGGATCTTGGGCACGCACGCACACGCGCACGGCTTGAGTTTTAAGCCACCAGGTCCAGGACGCGAACCACAGTCGACTACGTGGGAGTCCAGCGATATAGTCATTATGCTAACTGCTGGTCCCTAGGCAATATCTTTTAATCGCTCATTAATATTTTTTGAAATCCTTACTGCACAAAAATTTGTATGAATAATATCTGTGCCCTATCTCTATTTTTCATCATCATAAGCAAAGAAAAGAAAAACGTCTAAGATTCTATTTTTAAATGGAAATTTATGAGAACAATGCTGGTAAACAACATTTTTCTAAAAATTTTTTCAATATCAAAAGTTGTATTTTGATATTAAAATTATATATACACACACACACATATATGTATATATATAAATATAAATTGTATCTACATGGAGGCTAGCAGATAGCGTCATAGTGGTTATATCACTGGACTCCCACATGATTGAACACAGTTTCAGTCCTGGACCTGGAGGCTTAAAACTCATGCTGGGTGTGTGTGTGTATGTATGCTCAAAATCTTGAGAGGAAAATGAAGGAGAAGGGATTGCAGTGTGACCATCTCCCGAGGGGTGATTTCTCACCTTCTTTCTCTGTCTCTGTCTCTCCAATGAGTGCATGCATCTTATAAGCAATCATCTCTCTAAAAAAGAATTGTTCTGCATGTCCATTGCTTAAGATAAATTAATCAAAGTCTAAATAAAACTATTTGTTACATCATCCATTTTTTTCTTTTTCTGTTGAGTTACTGCTATTTCATGTTTGTTTCATCAGGTATTTCACAATGAGTATTTGCTACAAGAAAGCATTAGAGTTCACTTGGCTTACAAACAGGCATAGAACTCATTCCATGTACACATGTGTGCTAATTCAGAGCAGATTGGATACGAGTTAAAGTTTTCAATTGATACACAAAACATTTAGTCTGAAGTTTCTTGCACAATGAACATTGAAATGTCAACACAGAGTGTTCCAAACAGAAAAGTAACAATGAAATTCAATGAGTGTTTGCTCCAAGAAACCAGCAACTCTGTATTTTGAGGACTTTTTGTTCCCATGTCATTGACTAGAAACTGTATAGAAATTAAGATATCATTGTGGTGTGAGATATTATGAAGACTGAGACCACCGAGAAA